CAAGGAAAAGGTGACCAGCCGCAACCCTACACACCCACCCCCGACCATACTGAGGCTTTTGGAGGCACCGACAGCAGTGGTGTTCTTGTTGTCATTTCTTATCAGGTCGGAATTTTTGAAGATATGTATGTACTCTGTGTGTTGACCATAGAGGTTCTCTTCATTTGCCTCCCTCCAATAGGGCCCAATCGCTCTTCACCTTGTGCTTTACCACTTGATTTATGATTGATTAAAGCACCCTCGTTATTTCCGCTTCTGAAACTCTTCGAAGATGAACGTTGATATACTGATGGCTGCTGTTGGTAGCGAGCAACTATCAGTCATGTACACCGAGCGATACTGCTTGGCCAGTACTTCTACTTTGCCCTCATTGATGTAAAACAGTTCGACACAGTCGATAAACGCCGAAGTACGGACGCCGCTTCAGATAGGTAAATAGGCTTCGGGGAGACTTCACTGAGTCCGCAGCCAGATTCTCCTCGAAGGTCCTACGTTTAGAACGGTTCAGGTCAGTGCACCGGCTCCGAATTTTTCGGAAGAGTTCATAACCTGCACCGATGGCTCGAAAAGTTCGCCAAGCCCGGTTCCGGCGCCGAAGTAATAGTCCTAGTTCAAGGTCAAACCACTGTGAACCCAGTGTCCACGGTCTGCTGCCAGTTACCGGAGCAAACTTTTCCGTAAGGTGGAAGAGTCTTGAAGTAGTACTCGGGTTCGAGGCTTGAGCACAATAGTCCCGGTTCTGTATTTGTCTGCTTTTCTGCAGTTCGATGCAGGAAATGAAAGGGAGGTTAATGAAAATATAGTGTGGGCTCCACTATGGTGCGGCTGGGTTGAGGTGGCATATATTGGAAAAAATCGAGAAGAACAAGAGAATGAGAGAAGAGGGAGTAAGATGGAAAAGCAGAAGAAAGTGAAGGTACCCCCCCAAGAAAATGAAAGCTAATTAGTTCTAGGGGTGAGCCTAGCAAGGTTTTGAAGACCTTTCTAGAGGAGGAATTCACAATCTCTAGTGGAAGGACAGGACAGGACAGGACATAGGACTCGCGGCGGAGCCAGAAGCAGACCAGTTTCTTGCACCAATGATCTTGAGAGTACCACGGCGCTGCAACAATTTTGTTATTTCGTTCACGTAGACATCAGGGAGTGCGGTTCTGGAAGAGGAAAACGCACTTCTGATGGTTCCTCGGAGTGACAGTACACATCTGAGATTTTGTCAGGATCAAAGCAACAGCTCGCAACCAACCGCTCCGAGCGACCCAGAGCAAGAGATGTGTTGTAGAGAAGAAACATGACCTAAAAGTGGTGGTGCTGAATGTTGAGACGTTTCAGTAAAATGTGGTGAACAGTGAATAGAAGATGGAGCTGAGGGAGTTGGAGAAATCAAAGTGAAGTATGAGACAATGAGT